TAATTGAAACAGATTATCATTGTAAAAGTGACTAAAGATACTGTGAAGATTGTTAGTGTAGTTCTGTGAATATAAAGAGCAATTACTGTCTCTCACTCTGAGACCATTTATGTGCACTGTGATTGACAGTGGCTGTATTTCCTAACTATCACATCTGAAAACATACATGTATACAAATATATTTGGGTTAGGGCTTGTGGCTGCACTTCAATTCTCTAGTGACCCTTACTGGACAGTAAGTGTGTTTGTATGTACTGTAAATTATTAATAATTAATTTTTAATTGTTAATCATTAAAGTGTCCTGTGAGGAGCAGGAGTTGAACTTGGTGATCCTTATGCTTCCCTTCCAACTTGAGATACTCTGTGACTCTGTTCATTATTTGGGTAGGTGTTACTTCCTGTAAAGCAGATACCTAGTTTCATAAATAACAATGTGTATCTTTAATATAGGTAGGAATCTCGGGTACATAGTGTAGTGTAATTGTAGAAATACAGATTTAAGCCTGCCTTTGCTTCAGAGACTGAAAGACACGGTTATGTAACGAACAACGTTGTAATGTTGTTGCTTTAGGTCACAAGATTTGTATCAAACCAAGAAACAGGTGACATTGCTTAGCACTGAGACAGTCGATGTCTGTCCTTGTTTAACTTAATAAACCTCAGTGTTAACTAGGTTAACTAAGCTAAACGTTTTAACTTGTAGTTAGACCTCAGGGCTTAGGAAAATAGGTTGTTACTCTCTTAGATACCTGTCTCCAGTGGCTGAGCAAAGGCTCTAATCCTCTGTATGTCTCAGCAATTCAAGATATTTCCTGTCTCTTACAATCGAGGTTTGCTGTGGCTGATTGTAACAAAGACCTTGATATTTCGATCCACTGTTTTATATATTATGTAAGTATCTCTGTGACATTAATCAGCAGAGTACAGAAGAGTATTGTCACCTACTTGTTTAGACATATCTTGGTAATTATCATACATCCCAACTCCAGAGACCTGTCTGATCATCTCAGGTAATGCTTTTCTCTAGGATAAAACTGAGATGAGCTACAAGAGAGCATATTCAGTGTCTGCCTGGAATAATGAGCTTGTTTTTCCTGTGTCTTGGAATTGTAAGCCTGCTAAGCACAAAACAGAAGCATCCTGAGCACAAGATACACATACAGTTCCAGAGTGCAGTTTACTTGTTGGTAGAGCTCGTTTAAGCACATGTTTGCACCTAAACGTTTATTCTGTATTTTGTAACACTTATTTTCACTTGTCTTAGTTGTTTGTAGGACCACACCATAACTGGATTTCTGAGGTAATTTGGCTTTGCCTCTGGAGAAAATAGAACATAGACACACCAAATTAGAATTTACTAAGTAAGGTGTTGGTGTTTTGTTAGTGGAAAGTTTGCATCCCATAGTCCTCAGTTCTTCACTGATACTGCTTGAGGCAGTGCCCCTTCTGCTGTTAAAGACATCATCTTTGACTTTACAGTTGCTATTAGTTTATTGGTTTAGGTTTTGGGTTTTTTATTTGTTTGGGGGTTTGGTTGATTGGTTGGTTTTAGATTGTTACTGTATTCTAGTTTGCCCTATGTTTACTGACTTTTGTTTCTCATTGCTAAAAAGATGAGAATTTTTATTTTAGGACTTATATTAGCCATGTGAGGCTCCATTTCTGGTTTTTAAAGAGTCTGTCTTCACTCTATTTTTAGCACTGCCATCACCAAATCTGCAGATTTTCATCTCTTCTTCATATGATAGGGCAGTGATTGCTAATGCTAGAAATGCTAAGTGCCCTCGTTTCCTGGAAGAGCCAATTTTGTTTGATTGTGCCCATGGGCAGATCCTGAACTTCCTGAAGAGAGGAGGACTATGGTACAAGCTTCTGAGTTTAATCCCAGACTTGCATACTCAGGACACCAGTGTGTGTGCATGTGTGCAGCTTACCCAGCTAATCACTTGGATAAAAAATAGTTTGTCGCTGGGACATCCATGGTTCAGATAAAGTGGTCTCGAAGCAACTGAATTTTACTATCAATGAGCTTGTGATCTTGCCTTTATACTTTTTGTTTCCAAGCGATGCAGCTGGGGGAGAAAATACTTTGGTTTTGGTAGGATTTTGCTTTTATGGTCCTTCAGGAACTGCAGACAAGCTATTTTCTCTGATGAAAGTTTTCCAAATTGGCTAACTGGAAGTGAAGCCCGCATTTAAAGCTATCTAATTGTTAGCAAAGTTCCAGACACGATTCCCAACCACTTCTGCTGGTCTTAAATGGTAAAAGTAAGCTGTTGCTGAAAATAAATCTGTATTTTACAAATCCCATTTGTGTGTGCTCGAGGCAAAGTTTTACATCTTATAGAGGTTTTTGATTGAGGGAACTCATTGGCTGCAAAATCTGTTAGAGTTTTTTAAGGGACTCAATATGTTTGTTGAAAGGGGCAATTCAGACAGTATGTCATACTTCAGTTTTCAAAAAGGTTTTGACATGGTCATAACCTATGTGTTTTTTTAAGAAACTCTGCTGGTAACCCATTGGGGACTTTATTTTCCAATGCCTGCCTGCCTAAGAAGAAAAGTAGGAATAAATAAATATTTTTTCACAATAAGGGTTGATAAATCATGAGCTGATAGTTTCGAATAAGTAGCTAGAGGGGTTCCCCCTACTTATCTGTATGGAAACCTCTGATACACAGCTAATTCATTAGATGGACCTAGAAGAGGGATAGGTAATAAATTTGCTGAGAAAACAAAATTGATGAAAGAATTGCAGAAAGGTCTTCCGCTAGATTGAATGGGACAATAAAATGGTAGGTAGGATTTGGGCTTGGAAAATGCAGAGTAATGTGTATAGGGAAAAAATTACTCCCAGAGTAATAAGTATGAGGAAAAGTAACTCCCACTATCTGTACAAGTGGGTGGGCACAGTTATAAATTGGTTACTGTCACTCAGAAGGAGTGTTTGTCACTGTACAAATGTGAGGTCAGTGTTCAAATGTAGTGAAGGTAAATAGAAGGCAAAGTGTAGTATGAAAGGAATAGAAATCAAAACTGAAAGTATTACTATGCTAATGTATAAATAGATGGAAAAAGCAGAGTGCAATCTGTTAGCTGTTTGTCAAAACACTAATTAGTTTGCAAAACCAGGAGTTACAATAAACAAATAAAATGCAGTATCTTTCAGCGGTGCCTGCTTACTACTGTAATATTTTACAAAAGGTTTAAGTTTACATGGTTGAAAAAGGGATTAGATGCATTTCAGCAAGAAAGGTTTGTCAGTGTCCTTTCAACACAGGGGTCATGTTATAACCTGCAGCTTGTTTCCTAAACCATTGGTTGTAGGAAACGGGGAGAGATGTCACATTGTTTTATTAAATCCCCTTGTTACCAGACGAGGTGAGAATGGGATGCCCAGCTAAATGGTCTGACTTGGGAGGTTGGGTTGTGTTTTCAGAACATCAAACTTCTTGCCCTTGTGTTCTTACTTTCAGGTGTCAAAAGGTAAGTATTTTTAGCAAGCTGAAAGAAACACTGTAAAAACAATTCCTCTTGGCAGCTGAGTCCTTGGAATTCTACTCTGATTACAGTACAGGCTAAACATAGCTTTCTTCCTAAAAATTTGCATTTTTCAACCTATCTGTTAAGGTGGGTTTGGATTTAAATAAACAGTGTTCTTTAAACAGCAGTGTTTAGCCAATGGCAACATGCTTTAGTGAAACTCTTGGAAACATTTTATTTTTGCTTGTCATTGTCTACCTCTGATATACCATTATGTAGTGATTCTTGTGGTATTTTAGCTTTTAAGTAGCTTTATACAACAGAAACTCTATTAAAATGGTAAAGGTTAGTTTTGTGCCCTGACTTTCTTTACCAGCCAATGCTTTCTTTATACTCACTTTCTGTATCAAAGGATCAAGCTTACAACACATAGTTGTATTAACTGTGTTGGAAAATACTATTTAAAAACTGTAGATTGCTTATCAAAAGAGCTGGTAAAATATCTTTGTAGGTGAAGTTGTTTTCATAGATGTAAATATTGTGTTTTTAAAAAATTCCTACTTTTCTAGAGAAGATATTTCTGTTTTACTGAAATCTGTGGAAGTTTTTGACTGGCAGCCCAAAAATTGCTCTAGAAAAATACTTTTTATCAACTGAGATGGACTATGGGTGACAAAAAGGAAGAATTGGTAACAATCAAGACAGAAGTGAGGATGCTGTTCTGGACTCAGAAGCACTTGCAAAAATGACCAACTGGTTTGTCTGAAATTTGCACACATGGTAGTATTTTGACTAAAACAATTTTCCCTATTAGTAAAACTTAAAAAATGTAGAGAAGGAAGGTTGGGATATTTTTCCCCTTAAAAACCTCTCTGACTGTGAATAATGAATTGAATGCATTGGGCAAAAAAAGGTGTTAAATTTCATTCTATGAATTCTCTAATAAGAACAGTCATCAGTTACTGCAGTCATGTTGAGAGAGATTTGAAATGAGGTGTTTCAAAAATGAGAAATAATGATATTTGGATCTCATTAATCAAAAAAACCCCAAACTTCTACAGCATGAGAGAAGATGAGTACAACACAGCACTTAGGACTGAAAATGTAATCTAACAGGAACTACTGGAACAGACACACCTTTAAAAATCTCAGGGCACTTAATTAGAATCTAACTGGTGTACAAAGGAGCTCAATGTTTTACCCTATTTTTAAAAAATCTTGGGCTTTCACAATACCTTTCAGATTTCTGATGTTGACAAGTAGGAAAAATCATGTTCAAAAATCACAGATTGGCCAAGATTCCTGGGGCAAGGGCTGGGCTGGAAGTGCTAATGGAGCTTCTTGCTGCTCACACCAGTGGGTTTTGCTCTTTCGCAATTGCTGAACAAACACTATTTTCTAGAATCTTTCCAAACCTACAGGGGATCAAATGTGAGCCATAGTGATGAAAGTTAGTTTTAATGGCTTAAATTATATTTTTTTAGATTGCTAACCAAAGCCTTTTTCTTCCCTGTAGCCTTTTCTTATTCTTATGAATCTTCACTGTTCACCAGACGTCCACACATTTCTGTGTAGAGCCTTTGTCCCTGCCTGCCTGGATCAAATTCATGTGATTCACCCTTGTCGAAGCCTCTGTGAGAAAGTGTATTCTGACTGTAAGCAGTTGATGGACACTTTTGGAATTGCATGGCCTGAAGAGCTGGAATGTACCAGGTGGGGTATTTCTCATATTGACAGGTGGTGGGAGTGGTACTTCCATGTTTGACCTGGACTGAGTTGAAAATCTGAGGCAGAATGTTAAATATCACCTTGCTGTAACCTCCTTATTACACTGACCCTGCAGTGTTCATGCACGGGACCATTTCTTCATTAAAACTTTTTCATTGTTCAAATCATCACCTGCATTTCCTGTGTGTGACTTTTTTTGCAACAAAGCTCTGCAACAGTTCAGTATTCAGATCCCTGCAAAAGGAAGCTTTTTTACTATAAATTTCTGAAAATTTAAAATATTATATGTTACAGCATGGATTTTGCTTTGGTTTCTGATCTCTCATCTAGGAGTGATCATGCTTACTTCATTAGGGAGTTTAGAGGGAACTGCTCGTAAGATAACGAAATACAGAATATTCTGTATTTGAGCAGATAAATAATAGAAGAATAAATTAAATAGTAGAAGCCGTATCTCACTCCAACTGCTTAAATGTGCAACCTTAGTCTTGTGTTGCTTTTCCTCTACTGCAAAACCCTCTCTTTTAAAATTTCAGTTGTTTCTCAGAGGTGTTCGTGTGTCTTTTTCAGATAGCTAATACAATATTTGCTGAAAAGATGTCTATATATTTTAAATGGAAACCACTGACAGCACTCCAGTGCAATCTTCTTGAGATTATGACCTTCAACTGTGGATATTTATAAATTATTAAGGCCAGATTTTTTTTAACACACATCAGGTCAAGAGGTACAGGAAAGGAGCAGAGACTGGAAACTCAGTTTTTCTAACCCCCATGCAGTTGGTAATCCATGATAAGGCTGAGGGAAAGTGGGGACAGTAGTCCTATGCATGACCTGTGGTAGAAATGAATATTGGAGTGAATGTGACAAGTGGCATTAATGCCATTTCCTGTAGTTCTGCAGAAAAATAGAAGTTGTGGGGTTTTAAAACAAGAAGGCATCAACTTCTCCCGTTCTGTTGTGAGCTTCTGTGCAACAGTAGTGCCCTGAAGGGGCACAGCAAATATCTTCAAGGATTGTTTTGAAAAGTCAGGAAAAATACAAATTAATCCAGTTATTCAAGATGTGATATTTTAAATCAAATCATGTTTTTTTGCAGGATTTACTGCAGCTTTAAATTATTTTATTACTGCTAATATTTACTGAAAATGAAACTTCTCTGTTCATATGTGATGTCTCCCTGGTAGCCAATACTGAGAAGTCTGTGGAATGCAGGGTGTTCTTAGAGCAGCAGAGATCCTGCTGCTGCAGCCTGCTGGCATGAGGATGGGAAGTAACTGGAATACTGAGATTCACACTTCTGTATTCTTGCAGACATACATAATGCCAATTAAGACATGGGTGAATGTGTCCATGTATCCTGCTCTGGCCTGTGGTTAATGAAAGAATCTGCCACAGAATCAGTTTTCTTCATTAGTTTGGATTTACTTGGACAGCATGATAATGCAGAGAAACGTAGAACTGAAGGAGTTTTTAGCTCAAGCTGAACTTGCAAAGTGAATTGAGGGACTCTTGTAATAGTGTTTGACAAGGACTGTTGAGATAACAGAATCTTACTTTAAAAGCTAGAATGCAAAACTTGTTCTATTTAAATGTGCACTTAAACTTGGAATGCATATGAATCCCAATGTGAGTAAATGCTGACCTGCTTGAGTTATATAATCTAGTCTGTAGATGTCCAGCACTGCTAATATGATATTATCCATGTAAAAAGATCACCTCTTGTGTCCAGTTAAACCCTGCAGCAATTGAGTCTTGAGCAGTTTTTAAATTAATATCATAGAGCTATCAAATTGCTGAAGTATTGTTAATTTTTTACAGTGCTTGTGTTTTCTACTTATATTTTTTTCAGTTAGGTAGTTCATTGTTGCTGACAATAAAATAGCAGTATAACACAAAAGAATTATAATAATGATTGCATACTAGACATCAATTAATGATGCCAACCTTCTTCCCTGATTGATTGAAGCTCACGTTTTGACAAGATTTTTGCTGTCTTCAACAGTCTATTGTTATCCAAATTTAAAAAAGAACCCTACTGTAAATATTTTATATAATATGTAAATATTATATATATTGTATATATATGTAAATTGTATAATTGTATAATATGTAAATACTATATTATATATAATATATATATTATATATAATATATATATTATATATAAACTGTAAATATATATGTAGAAGTTCAGTAGAATTTAAAAGAATGGTTGCAATTTGAGTAGTGTTTTATAGCTTATGAAACAACAGCTAGAGAGCAACAGTTAAATAAATGTGTTTGAAGTTCTTCTAAAATGCAAATATTTGAAGTTTGGTTTTTATAATGCCATTGATTTTTTTTTTCATATGAAAATTTTTATATGAAAATTTTCATATATTGCACATTTGCATTATCTGTAAAATTTAACAGTGCTTAGGATCAGATTTTTTTCATATTTTTAAAAAGTAATTCTAGTTGAGAATGAGGGGTATTGAGATATTTCCTCTTCTGTTTATTTATTCAGACTGACTAATTGTGATGAGGCTGTTCCTGCCACTGCTGCTGTAACCACAAACGTGCATGGAACTCGGAAGACCCCAGGCCAGATCCGAAGGGATTATGGATTTTGGTGTCCCCGGCACCTCCACACTAACAATGGACAAGGCTACAAGTTTCTAGGGATTGATCAGTGTGCACCGCCATGTCCCAATATGTACTTCAAAAATTATGAATTGGATGTGGCAAAAAGCTTCATTGGAATAGTTTCAATCTTTTGTCTTTGTGCTACGCTTTTCACATTCCTGACTTTTCTGATTGATGTTAAAAGGTTTAGGTACCCAGAGAGACCGATCATATATTACTCTGTCTGTTACAGCATAGTCTCTCTGATGTACTTTATTGGGTTTTTACTTGGGAACAAAACTGCCTGTAATGAGGCAGATGATAAGTTAGAAATTGGTGAAACAGTTGTTCTTGGCTCCCAAAACAAAGCCTGTACTGTCCTTTTCATGGTTTTGTACTTTTTCACTATGGCAGGAACTATTTGGTGGGTGATTCTTACAATCACTTGGTTCCTTGCAGCAGGAAGAAAATGGAGCTGTGAAGCTATTGCACAAAAGGCCATGTGGTTCCATGCGGTTGCCTGGGGAATACCTGGTTTTCTAACCATTATGCTCCTTGCGATGAACAAAGTTGAGGGAGACAATATCAGTGGGGTTTGCTTCGTGGGTCTCTATGATCTGGATGCCTCTCTGTACTTTGTGCTTTTGCCGCTGTGCCTTTGCGTGTTTTTCGGTCTCTCTCTTCTCTTAGCTGGTATTATTTCTTTAAATCACGTGCGCCAAGTCATCCAGCACGATGGCAGGAACCAGGAGAAGCTAAAGAAATTCATGATCAGAATTGGAGTTTTTAGTGGTTTATACTTGGTGCCACTGGTAGCACTTCTTGGATGTTATGTTTATGAACTGGTGAACCGGAAAATCTGGGAAACGACTTGGGTGTTTGACCACTGTGACCAGTACCATATTCCTTGTCCTTATCAGGCAAGTAACGGTTTCCTTTATAAATAATACTGTAAAGTTAACTAACAAAACCCCTTATGCATCACTGTATCTACCATGCAGTTATTAAGTTATTTTCACATTAGTAAGTTATTTTCATGTTCAAGAACGTGAGTGGAGTGGTTAATTCCTTTTTAAGTCAAAATCAGTGGAATGATACTTTTGCTTTGAATTGAATTGGTAGTGCTCAGTAATTAAATTCCAACTCACAGCTCTTAACAGAATATATAACCTCTATGATATTTGAACTGCATGTTACAAATTTGCCTAGGATCATTCTTCACAATATTTGTTCCTAAAAGTAGTTGCTCAGTACTTGGGTGCCTAGCTCAGTATCAAAGTATGTAAGTTGAATTTTCATCAATTTCAGTTAAAGCTGAAATAGTGATTTGTGAAGATCCAGACTAAACTCAATTTTAAATGCTGCTTATAACCAGCGATTTAAAATCAATTTTGTCTTTTTTTTCTTCAAAATGTAGAAAAGTAAAACACTTGAAATAATGGAACAAATTTCCACAGTACTTATCATTTGCAGACTGATTTTCAGAAATGCAAAGAAGTCTTTATGTAAACCAAACAAACAAATAGCAAATAAAAAAAACCTCAACAGCACTTTAAATTGTGGAGGTGATTGTATTTAACATTTGACTCCCTAAAACTTCCTTGGGAAAGCTTTTAAATTGAATCTACCTGTGTTCAGTGCTCTCTGTGGATTAAAATCTCTTGCAGTTGCCAGGAGTTTTATATTACAAATTACTTAGAAGTAATTTGTGGTTTGTTTCTTTCTATTTAAGAACAAACATACAAGCAAACATCACCAAGAGAAATGCAAGTGTCTCATGTCATCTTTCTTTGCATTACACTTACCATCTCTGTTTTTGCTGCAAATAAATATCGTTAAAATGAGGAATATAAACACAGGCGTTATGAATTATGAGGGTTGATCTCCTTACATCCTTAAACTTATTAAATTATTTATTATCCTCTGGATTGAAGTCAGTGTAAGCTGACAGTAGCACAGTTCACAGACAACTTGGTTATTTGTGCTTCCGATACTGTTTCTTAACAAGTATATTTTGACTTCAGTGGGTTTTATTCTGAGCTCCGTATCAGCCTAAATGGTTCAGAATATACAAGGCTGAAAACAAGACGTTAAAAAAAATAAATCAACAAAATTATTTTGTAGCGCTTAAATATAACAGCTTGGCATAATAACACAGGAAAGAGCATGTATTTTCATCGTTTAATTAGCCTTTGGAAAGAAGAAATAGCAGCAGGAAATGTTAACAAAGATCCGTTTTATGGGATCTGTCCCTATAACAGAGAGTGTGTGCTAATTGTGAAGTAGCTTTAAGTGGCGTGCTCAGCTTTGGCTTGCCTGAGCTGGCTTGTAGACTTTTGTTACATTGGCCAGATCAAAAGCAAATGAAAACAAACTTCAGTTTAAGTGGCTAATGTTACCTGCCTAATAAAAATAGTGACTTTCATAGATGGGCTGGCAGATAAGCCAGGTAATGTAAATTAAATTTGCAGAATGGGAGCAGAAGATAATGATCTCTTATGGAGTTAAATGTCTTAGCTCCTATGATACAGTTCTGCAAATAGGTGGATTAATTTTGCAGTAAACAGAAAGCTACTGTGCAGTTCCCTGCGGCTCCTTGAAGATGCTGTCTAATCTGATTAACTCCCAACTAATCCTTCCACTACCTGAAGGGAGCCTACAGGAAGGATGGAGAGAGACTTTTACAAGGACATGCAGTGACAGGACAAGGTGGAATGGCTTTGAACTGAAAGAGAGTAGGTTTACATTAGATATTAGGAAGAAATTCTTTACTTTGATGGTGGTGAGGCCCTGAAACAGGTTGCCCAGAGAAGTTATGGATGCCTCATCCATGGAAATGTTCAAGGCCAGGCTGGATGGGGCTTTGATCACCCTAGTCTAGTGGAAGGTGTTCCTGCCCATGGCAGGTGGTTGGAACTAGATGGTCTTTAAGGTCCCTTCCAACTCGAACCATTCTGTGATTCTGTGGGTGTGATTCACTGACTGTTTCTTTTAAGTTGAAGGGATAAATCTTATACATACATACTCACCTCTGAAGAACATGTTTATTAATACTAGTGCTCCCCAGATTACCTTTCCTTGCAATTTAAAAGAAAAATATTTGCTTCTGAAAAATCTCTAGCGTGTTCAGCTGTAGACATGAACCACGTCTGACTTGACTGTACATGTCTAATGTTTGCCCGCAGTGCAAGCCTCGACAAAGAACAACAGCCATAAGGAGGAGGTCTCTCATTTATGTAATGTTTTCTGCATTTAAAAAAAATAAAGTAACAAGTATATTTTTTTTCTTTGCATTTATCAAACTTTATCTTCTAGGCAAAGGCACTAGCAAGACCAGAAATATTTTTGTTTCTGATGAAATATTTGCTGACATTAATTGTTGGCATATCTCCAGTCTTCTGGGTGGGAAGTAAAAAGACCTGTTCTGAATGGGCCAATTTCTTCAACAGAAACCGCAAAAGAGAGTAAGAAAAATTTTTTTTATTCCTGTTTTTTAAAGTGTATACTTAAAGCTGGCTTTAAGACATGTTTCTTTATATATAGCTCAAGTGATCAAAATGTTGTCCTGAGACTTCTTTCTCAGACTTTAAATGCAGCCTTTGGGCATCAGCAAAATTCCATTGGAGTTGGGGGAAGTTTTACACATGCAGTGACTTTCTGACATTCTCAGAAGACAGAATTTTTTTCCCTCTGCTGATTTCTCTTGTGTAGAGCTGAAGTCATGTTGCTGTGTTTAGCATTGGCTGATAAATCTCTGGTTTCCAGTTGAAGGAGGGAAGATAATTTCAGTCATCAGTTTAGTTGCTTTCATGTGTTGTGACCACTTAATTTGACACAGTACTTTGTGGTGTTTACTGCCATGCAATAATATCCTCTGCTTTTCTTCTCTGCCAGGCTTGTCTTGTTTTAAAATTAATATTCATCAAACTCTCCTTACTATCACTTTTATTGCATAAATCTAGTGTTATTTTTTTTTAAAGAGAAGAATTCAGTTTTATTACTTAATTTTAGTAAACTTTATATCTATGGTTTTAAGGAGCTTACAAATTTCATCTCTATTTCTTTTAGTTATCATTTTTCAATTCTTTCTTATTCCTTGATTATCTCTTTTTAGATTATCTATTACTTATATTGTGGGTTTATATTGTTTTATTTCATTGGATTTCCCAAGGCAGTAGTCCTTAAGCTCCTTTTATTTTACATTTACATTCCTTGATGGTCAGCTTATGGCTTCCTTTCCCTCTACCCTCTTTTTCCATTTCCTGTATAATTTTTTCTTATGTTTTAGATGTTAACTGCTTTCAGCTACAAGGATTTAAAAATAATGAAGTAATTTTTGTAATGCTTACCTTTCTTCATTTGAATGAGGTTTACTTTATATAAAAAGTTAACTTGGTAATGTAGCTGCTTGTGAGCTAATCCCTCTTTCCTCTCTTAGATCATTAATCTACTGAAGTCATTAAGACCAACTTGCAGAAGTAAGAAATGTAGAAATCTGCTTTATTAAATTGTTCCACAGACATAATTACTTTGGAGCTATTATGATCAGATTTTTTCTCTTCATATATAATTTTTTTTGTTCATTAACATCTGTCTCAGATTGCATCACTGGTTGCTGTTCTGTCAGGGTTTTGTGTATGAGTCTGTATTACATTGTAGCCAAGGTTACCCTCTTCATTCAGTTACAACTTGTGTTCTCTTTCAGTCCAATCAGTGAGAGTCGAAGAGTGCTGCAGGAGTCGTGTGAATTTTTCTTGAGACACAATTCCAAAGTTAAACACAAAAAGAAGCACTACAAGTCAACTTCACATAGACTTAAAGTCATTTCAAAGTCAATGGGTACCAGTACAGGTGGCGCAACAAATCATGGAACTTCTGCAGTAGCAATCACTAATCATGATTACTTAAGCCAAGAAACTGTTGCAGAAGTTAAAACCTCTCCAGAGACATCTGAGAGAGAGATAGAGGCAGACGGAACATCAACCCGAAGAGTCGAGGCAGGTGAAAACAGCGGAGATCAAATGTTATCTGGTTCTAAATTGACTGTGGATCAGGTGGAAAGAAGAAACAAAGCTGATAGCACATGTCATATGAGTAGCTTGGCTGAGAGTATGAAGAGAGTAGGTGAAGGCAGGTAAGGCACCTGAACTCAATCATTTGCTTGTTTGTGTGTTTTACCACTAGTGCTGTAAGCTTGCTGTTCCTTTTCTCTGAAGAATCGGTGTACTCTCAGTATGCAGCTAACCCACAGTAGCTGTCAAGAGAACTTACAGACTGCCCCACGTGACCATCTATCTTTAGCATATGAGCTATTTTGTGTATTTGTAGGATTCTTCTTTTCCATGTAAGTGCCGAGTGCTGGAGCTTCAGCTCCAAAATGTCTGTGACTGCACTTTAATCACTTTGAGAGGTGATGGATCTGAAAAAGAACAATAATTGGAAAAGTATACAGAACTGTATTGCTTTCTCTTGAAAAGAATACAACTGAAAATACATTATGATTTCATTGCTCAATTTTTTTCCCATTTTAATGCACTGTACTTAAAATTTACTGTGTTTTTTTTTTTAATTACTTGCAGAATAACACCTAAAAATGATTTTAGTGAATCTCCTCCACTGCAAAGCAGCTGTTCCCAAATACCTGATGTCTCACAGTCAGCTTCCATATCCCTACTTGTCTATTCAGCTTCAGACACCAGAAGAGAGTTGGATTCAGGAAACAGTTCAAATCCTTGAAAGATTGAAATTTTATATGAACATTTGCAATTTATAAAACTGACATGAATTCTGTGTTACACTGGAAATAATGGATATTCTCTGCCTTATTAAAAAACACACATATCTTGCTTTGCACTTAAAAAATGTATGTTTTGTTGTGGAAACAGCTAACAATAATGTACTGTATTTTATCCTATCCAGGAATAATGGAAATTGAAGTTCTGTAGGACATGGCAGTAATCTAAGAAAAAGATGAGACAAATATTATTCCTTATATAAAGAATATCTTATAATGAATTGCATTAAAGTGATGCTTAGAAAGCACTGTTACTTTTCAAGGTATAAAAGTTACATCTGCCTCTTTGATATTTTTTAACACTTGCTAATTTTTTTCTCTTTTTACTATCTCTTAAACAATAATATCACTTAAATAAGGAATACAGAAATTTATAAATACTCTGTAAATTATGTCCTGTTGTATCAATTACAGCACTGGTTTATGGTAGCTTGTACACTGAATATGAAAGGCAATCTGAAATTATAGCAACTTATTTTGTACATAAAAATGAATTTTGTAAATAACTGACTGCATAAAGTCAGTCTCTAGAACTGCTGGTTTTGTATGTACTGTACAAACTTGGGAAAGCTCACGTGCTTCCGTCAGGGGTTGCTGAAGCCAAGAGTCCTCCAGTGATCAGACAGCATGAGTCAGTTCTGAGTAAAGCAGGTTGGACCTTTACCTGTAAGGTGCACCATCATCTGGGGTGAGGCTGGTCACAGGGGGGGCAGCACTCTTCCAGAAAAGTGCCTCTCGGAGCCTCTGCTGGCACGGTGTTCCAGAGCATTGTGCCGAAGGAACGCTTCAGACCCCCGGCCTCGGTGGGCAGAATCTGAAGCACACACTTTGGGGTTTTGTACTGAGCTGCAGTGAAAGCTCATTTCATGGTGTTTCTGTAAGAGTAACTTAATTTTTTATATATTCTGTAGAGAAATATCTTGCAGAAAATAAAGTGTTGAGTTATTAATACACAAGCTTGTTTAACAATCTATTTACTCAGAAGATGGCCTTAATACTTTTCCTACAAAGCTTAGTTTTCTGTGTGCTACAGCACTGTTATTTTCTCTAAATCAAAAAGGCCTTAATACATGTAGCCTTTCTTATGACAGGGTGGTTCTCAAGAGCAAGTACTGCTGATGTGGATAACAATTTCATCATTTGGCTTCATCTGAATCAAGATTTCTTAAGAGCCAATAGGATTTATTACTTGAGATAATTTGGAAACAGAATTTTACTGTTTTCAGAACATGTCAATGCATTTTGTAAGACTGTCCATCGTCTTGCATTTGATAACTAGGGATATTTTTCTCAGCATTTTTATATTAGGCAGGGAAATTACTGTGTTTGAGTTTGGGCAGCATTCATGGTGATGCTTTGAACAATGAAAATTGCAGGGTACAAAGGGCATGTAAATGCTGAAACAACAGGAACTGCAGTTCTGATAAACCAAAGTTACTTGTTTTATCCATCATACGTTAAAAATGGAATGTCTTTATATTACAGTGTCTGCATTTTAGCATTTGTAATTTATTGCCTTCAATGGGATACGCTCTTTCTTTTAGACTTTCTCCATTAAAAATACACAGAATTCTTGCTACTGAGAAGTACAGTGAGAAAGATGAAAAATCTCCTGTGAAAATGCACAATAAATCCTCTTCATTTTTCTAGTTCTGTTTGTAACCGGGTAACTTTATACACATGTTCAGTAGTTTTATTATTACTGTATTTGTTAGTAATAAAATATACTGTTGTATAGTAAGAGCTTCTGAGTTGGTATTTCTTAGTAACTAGGTGTAGCATGTTTGTTGTAGTATTTTTGCACCTAAACCACTAATGTATTTCTTAGTACATTTCATAGAACTCTGTAAGTTAATAAGTATTGCAATGTTTTTATTCCTCCTGTGTGAGAAACTGAGGCAGAAACAATGCTGGGAATTGTTCACATGAACACAGAGTTATGGAGGAGTGAGAAACTTGAAGTAGTTCTTTCATCCTAATATTTAGAGCATTCTTTCTTTCATGACCTCTAAAGACCTTCTTTTCGTTACATAGAATGTGTATTTCCACACTGTGCTTGTGCTGCCACCTTCTTTAAATAGTGATTTTTAATTTTTTTAATGTTACTCCCTTTTTTTAGGTAGTTCGGAAAAGAAATCTTTTGTGGTCACTGCTCTAAAAAAGATAAATGCAAAGTAATTTTGAAGTTACAGCAATACTGTGGGCTTACAAATAGATACATTTTCAAGGAAGTGGGAAATGTGAAGCAGTGATAATAACGTTCACTGGCAGTGAAATGCATCAGTGGCAGATTGAGAGACTGTAGCACTTTGTGTGTTCCACTGCTGCTGTACCAGAAATAACAGACTGAACTCCCAGGGTGATCCTTACAGCTAAAGAGATTGTGATCTCTCGGTGCTTTAACCGTGAAGTACCCAAGCAGTAAATGGGAAGTTAAACTGCGATTTGAATGCCCATGGAAAGGGTGGGGGGAACGAAACTGAAAGAAAAGGGGCTCAGGGAAGAGTCAGAGCCCGCAAGACTGACTGCCTTACAGTGATGGGGGGTGAGGAATTCAAAAACAGCTTCTCTAATAAAAGAGGCTTGGATTATTTGCTTTCCTCTTGTTATCTGACCAACGTTAAAACTGCAAATAGACCGTTCATGTTAAGAGGGCTTTTCTTAACCTGTGATAATGACTTCTCCCTGGGACATCTCCACCAGCTGAAGTCGTTGAATCGAGGCTGACAATCTTCTGGAAGATGCACTATAAATCCAACTATTTACATTGATACAGCCATTTCAGTATTTGTTTCTGCCATTGTTTGCAGGAAGCTAAATAAAGGATACTGACAACTTCTGCAAACCTGGAACTGTGTGTGCCAAATGGTCTTTGTCTCTGGTTGGAGCTGTCATAAACCACTTCAAACTATGCTTTGCACTGAGTTTTCAGGTTGCATATAAAATCTTTCAAAGGACAAGATAAATTTAATATACCAAATCATATTTGATTTGTGATACAAACAGCACCTGCAGTTGGCAGTATGGTAGTTTGATGGTACATATTGTTTATACTGTATTTAACTGTCCTATTTTCCTAAATGCTTTTAGTGAAAACTGTATAAGATTTACCTGGAGTATAGACCTATGCATATATTTGAAAAAAATAAAGTTGTCCAAGCTTGCAAATCTGCCTCAGAGCATGGCAAATATAAGCAAAATAATGCTTATTAACATTTAAAAGGTACTATTAATACAGAATCACAGAATATGCTGAGTTGGAAGGCACCCACAAGGATCATTAAGTCCAACTCTTAGCACTCTTTGACGTGACTCCTTGACAACTGTTCAACAGATTTGCAGAGGATTTTATCTCCTTTTTCCTTACGGGATACAGAATATTTTGGTTTAGAGACAGTCAAATCCAGTTGAAATTCAGAGCAAAACAGAAAAAGAAATTAAATATGAAAAGCTGGGCTTCTTTAATAAAAATTACGTTCAGCATTCTGCAAAGCACTGAAAATTGCAGTAGCTGAATAGGATGAGGAATCCTGTTTTCCCATGAAGTCTGACCACCCAGCCTCAATGTGCTGTTTCAGAAGGCTGCGCATCAAAGGAGAAATGCCACATCCCTCCCTTCACACTGGCTCCTTGTTGGATCAGTCTTTGAAGGCATCTGTCGCTCTCTTCACTGGTAAAGTTCACTGCCAGTATTAACCAGTAGTATTTGCAGTAACTGAGATGGCTGGCACCAAGGGTATTTGAGAGTGTCATGGGAGTAAATGTTACTTCCTGTGCATTACCTTTGTTTTGCACTTATTCTTTCACTGTTTATTGCTTATCATACTTAAGTTTTTTAATGGACTAGGGTTTAATTAAGGCAACCTATACCACATGTTCATGAGCCCTCTGCTTTCTATATCTGGAAGAGAAGCTCAGAGTATACTTCTGATGTACAACTATGAAATCCATTTCTGTTTATTAACCGGATTTTATTTCCTACTAAAAAGCACCTGAGATGCAAAGTATAATTAAAAGATTAAAAACATGCCAGGACATTTATATCCAAACTCTTCATTAATACTTATTCCCTGTATTTCAACTTTGTTCACAGAAAAAAATCTGAAATAAAAGCTTGCTTTATTTCAGGTCTTACTCGTCAAAATAAAGCAAAATAAATGCACAGATCTGTCTTCATTAAATGGGTCACAGCTGGTTTCTTAGCACAGACAAGAGCTGGAGAGGGGAATAGTTCCTGCTGTTTGGAAGAAGGCAGTTTTTGTGGAAGGGAAGTGCTAAACAGGCCCTTGGGACTGGGTGGAGGTGATGTGGAGGGACACTGATCTGCCGCCCTCAGGTACAGCAGGACAGTCATGAGAGAACATCAGGTATTTTAAGAGGAGAGGAAAGCACTGCTAGTTTAGGACTCGCTATTGACATACAAGGTGAAGAGAAACAGCAAGAAGCCATTTTACTTCCGTTGAATAGATTTGTCAGTTAGAGACGTGAGGGTGGGATGATTAGACACAGCCACCAAAGGGTCTTAACAGGAAAACGTGTGTTCCATGTTGGTCGTATATGAAGGATGATGCAGAGAGTTTGCATCCCAGTTTATATTCCTGATGTTTTACCTGATCATATGAAACTGGATCATAAGAAATTGCTTGGGTAATTTTGGATTTACAAATAATAATACAAATAATGGATTTACAAAAGTAAATCACTGCTAGGCAAGGTCCTGGAGGAAATGACTAGTAAATTAGTTAATTAGTTGATGGCTTAAGCTGCATTCTCTCCAGACCCAACTTCAGTAGTAGTATACCTACGATATAAGAATGTGTGCACATCTTGCATGACCGAAGATGGAGGATTTGAGGATACTGAAGCAGCTGAACAGGTTTCTTGGCACTGGGTTTGAGCCACTGATGTTGCCTGCTGGACATAATCCTTTCTGGGACTTGCTCTCCTTCTAGATTCCTACAGACATGGCTGTGAGCCCGGCTTGCAACTGAAGAACAAGTGGGTGCACTATAGGGATTAATAATCCAGACACATATCGTTCCATTCAATGTGAAGAGATGACACTGACAGGTGAGATGTGCCAGTGAGCAGACAAGATGCAAAATGTGCTGGGCTGGCTGAAGTCAGGGCTCACCAAGGAAATTAATCTGAGTTATTTTTCTTAAAATGTGGTTTTAGTAGGCAGTGAGAAAGGACACTGAGAGACGCTGATAGCTGGGATGAGGTTCCCTATGGAGAGAAATGGAAAGTCGCCCAACCAGTAGGAAAACCCAAGAAAGCACACTCCCCCCCACCAAAAAAAAAAAAAAAAAGAGGGAGGACTTTGCCTTTTAAATTAATATAACCTCAACAGCATTTGATATTCTTAGGGCACACATTCTGAAAGTTTCTCTGCTTGGCAACCAAGAGGTGCAGTAATTCCAGCAGAGTTACAAGGATAAAAGCAAGGAAACCACACCAGAAACAAAGTAACGCCTCACAAAAGCGTGGTTGGATGAGTACCTCCTGTAAAAGCATAACCCAAAGAAGGACTCGAAAAGACATTTTTCTTCACAGCAATCTGGTAGAAACATTTTGCAGCCTGGCCAGAACATCTTGCTGGTCTGGCCAAACATAATGTCATCCCCCCATGAGCCAGGGGTTCAGGTGCTTGATCCTTTCCAGCACCATTGCACTAGTCAGTTGTTGATGCAAATTAAATAAGATTCCTGTTTTAGCACATAAAAAAATTATTGCAAGAGTTTATCTGTTGAAGCATCCTCAGGGCTAAAGGATGCCCCCACAGAACTGCTTGTGGTGAACCTCTCTCCTGACCTGGCAGCCTCTGTCCAGTCTTTGTCCTTTTGGTGACAGTGAGTCATCAGAGAGCAGAAGCAGGCAGTGCTGTCCAGAGGCTCCACAGCCCTGCTTGCCACAAGCTGTGGTGCTTCTTTGCTGAGGTCAGTGTGGGTATGAAAGCCGGATCTCAGGAATGCCATGGGCTTCAAGCTCCACCACTACATCCAAGAGGCAGAGCTGCAGTGACTGTGTGTTCCCATTGTCGTTGTTGTTGTGGCTCTGCCTCTCTCTCTCTCTTCTGAGACAGCAAGTTTTGTGCAGCTGTTGAGTGTCCTGGACCAATTAGTTTGCTTCTTGGACCAAAACTTGTTTCATCCACAGGCTTCTGTGCATTTTGTGTGTGCCTGCTATTGTGGCTACAGACCTCTGGTTTCTGTAAGCCACCTTGAAGGGCTGGCTATATAGCCCTGCCTCAGCCCTGCTCATAACTGCCTTGCTTTTCCTGAGGAACTCCTTTTCAGGGGGCTTGTTGGACACAATTAAAATCAAATAAAAAATGTCAAAGTTCAAGTCTATTCCTTTAATTTTAGGATTATCGCTAATTCTGAAACCAGAAGGACAGACCTGTGGTAGTGCACTTGATAAATGGTGTAGAAAAGCAGAGATTGTTCCCTTCATTTGAAGAAGCCTTCCTGTCTCAATGGAGCACTGTATTTCACATCCTAATAACCATTTATTAGCACAGGATTTAAGGAAAGTTAGCTTTTCAGTTCTGAAAAATGCCTTTCTATTCACTGAGGATTCATGAGGCAGCCAAGTGATTTTTCTACCACTGACTAATTCATAGCCACTCTAATGAGCAAATGTTCCTCCTGAGCCTTAGCTCTCTCCTTTCATATGATGATTCACTGGAGGCCCAGTGAATTTAACTCAAAACTGGACTGAATTAATTTTCCCATTCTACCATGTGCACAAGTCCTTGAATAACCCAATCTAAGCAGACCTGCTTCAACCAGATGTGCTCCAGATGCCCCTTCAGACCCAGAAGTTTCCATGACTGCAGCCAGGATTGCACCAGCTGCTCTTGGGAGAAGACTCACAGAGGCACAGACCAGACCCCTTCAGAGGGGTCTGAGAGTCTGAGATTTGCAACCACCCGTCACTGAAAACAGTACAGGCTTTTTATCATAATGTTTACACTATGGAAATGTCTGGGTGTGTGCTGAGTTATCCTTTATCAGTGAGCAGACTGTTCCCTCAAAAAGTTTTATTAAAGTTTATCTCTGTCTGATTGTCTGTGAATGTTGTTTAGTTTAAGATGTTCGGTGCTTCCATTATTACTGTAATAATGGCACTGTAGAGAAATGCAGCTATAAGTCAACTGATGACTTGGACAGAAAAAAACACATCTGCCTGGAACTCCAGCAGGCAATGGAAGGAGCTGTTTCTGTAGGCTGAGCTTCGTGGTACTTGACCTATGTCCTCATCTTGACTTGTTGGAGAGAATGTTAAAGATTTATCTTGATAGAAAACTTAATTAAATATGAAAAATAAAAAGCATCAATCCTCTCTCTAGTTTTCTATTGTGCAAATATACAATGTTTCCTCTAGTAACATTAAGAACTGCCACATGCTTATTCAGAAGTAAAGAGTTAACACTTAACTATTAGATTTTTTTCCTTACACACAAAAAAATGCCATCCTCCTGTATATGGACATAGGAATTCTCCTCTGCAGACAAGCATCTGAAGGGTGAACACATGCTTTCCTGGCAGTTCTGCCCCTCTTCTCTTTGACAACTCCATTATTATGCTCTCACCTCTGCCTGTACTTGACGGCTGGTATTCAGATGATCAATAATTTTTTTCATGGCTTGCATAAGGAACTGTTAGCATGACCTGAGTATCACCTGGAGGTGCAGAGTCTCAACAAAGAAAATATTGATGCGACTTATGCTTTTAAGCTTTTCTTACAGGCAGAAACACAACATCACTGAGTATTATAATCCACTAAAAAATCAGCCCCAAAAGATTTTTTAAGATTTAAATGCTAATATGTGTACCTGCAAAACACTGCTGTGGCTACAATGCTTACTATTTTATGTAGAAACTACAGGAAGATTTTGTTTAAATAGGTATATCTGTGCTAGCAAAGCAATAAAACAGAGGGAGAGATGTTTTGGATTATTTTAAAATAATACTAATCATATGTTTAAATTAAGAGGTGTTAGAAGGGATCAAGGCCACAATCCCATTGATATTCATGCAGTTCCAAAGGCTTTTTGTGGAAGAAACTGGAATCTATTTCTTTAACCTGTAATAAATTACCCGATAGCTCTTACTTTGGTTTTCTTCTACAGCAGTACAGACGGCTCTTTGTCTCCTGGATCAGACAGGCAGCCTGCAAAGAGCCATTTGAGCAGTTCAAGTTTTCTCTGATCTCAGCCTTTTACACCGACTTACAACTCACCCTAACATATCAGCAATAAAGTGAACAAGATCTAAACGATGAACTCCACAATTAAAAGCACTGAGGATAGATTGCCAGAGATCCCAAGGGCTGTGATGCTGAGCACTGCAGTGCTACCCTGAGCTCTGCTGCTTACCCTGGGGTGTGCACGTGCTCTCCAAAGCTATGCATACACTGAGCTGCCAACCAAAGTCAAAATCCCCAGACATCACCAGAACAGGGAAATGCACAAAGCAATAACAGTTAAAAGCAGATGAAAGGTCCAGGTTTTGGCACTTACCTTACTGGGCCTCTTTTGGCTCAGGATCCTCAGTCTTAAACCTTAGGTAATATTTAGACCCCTAAGTCTGGCTTTCCTGGTTCCCTGCAGTTGTTTCACCCTGTGAAGACCAAGGACTGAATAACAATTATTTACAGGTTGAATTCCTTCCAGGGCTCTAACAAATGGTATTCATAAACTGGAATAGTTTGTGCAGGAAAAGCAGAGAGACCCAACGACCCAGTGGACAGTCCCTTGAATTTAAACACGTGAGGTGAATGGAAACACATGCGCATGTGGGCACAGCCTCCTCTCCAGACTTGTGTGTCTGGATTTTTGAGATGGTGAGAGGTTATGTGAAGGGGGGAAACAGCTCAAGCTGCAATACAGAGGTTGCACTCACAGCATCAGCCTCGTGGTGTAAACATCCATTGTGTGTGATGCACTGACAGCGCCATGTATGAACCTGCCTAGGCTATGCAGGAGCAGATTGACCATCTGGGAGATTTTAGTGACATTTAAGTGGCAGAGATAGCAACTCATAATCTTTTCTGATGTGTTTGTAAGGCCATATATAAAAGATAAAATCTATATCATATGGTAGGATGGGTAAGATGAAGAAATCACTAGTTGATGTAATATGGATCATGGTCTGAGGATGCTCAGGCAAGTTTATTACCATAGGTCCTTTTATCTGGGAAATAGTTAAGGCAAGGTAGATCAATAGTTCTGATTCAATCTGAGTATCTCACCAGCATTCAGCAATGGTTGGTGTCCTGAGAAGGATTTAAATATATCAAAAGCCTGCAGAGCAAATATATCAAAAGCCTAGCAGATGGCAAGGCTTGCTTGGACTGAAACAGGCTGAGGAGGATGTTAACATCTCTGTTTTCCAGATGGAAATGCACACTGTAAATCAACTGCACAATACTCTCTCAAAGTACTGGAGCTCAAAGAAGATGTCCCACATGGTTTGCTAATACCCTTTTTTACAACACTCCTCAGTTTGCTTCTCCTGGCAAAGCCATTTTGATTTCAAAGCTTCTGACCCCAACTGAAGTTAATGGGTGGAGAAATGCATGTCGATGTCTGTGCAAATTTTTGCTCTAAAATACTGAGCGACTGTCTCATGAAGGTGTGCGGTGCTGCTGCGCTGTGTGCTTCAGGTACTGCAGACTTCCTGAAGAAATTAATTCTGTAATGCACAGGTTTGGCAGCCTGTGAAGGTACATGCCCTAGCAACAGCCTGTGTTGATGCTGGGGATCCCCAGCCCTTGGTAATGATGCTTGTGTGAACACGCAGGTGCCACAGAAATCAAACATTACCGCCCTCACAGTAGTGCCACCAGCCCGGGCCAGAGGCAGGCGGGTTTGCTGGCAGCGATGCACGATTGCACAACGCAGCCTCTGCGTGTGTGTGTTCATGGATGATGACTGAGGCTGTCACTGAAGCAATTGTTGTAATTACGGATTTCCATAATTCCATAAATTTTCCCAACTGGTTTAAGGAACCATTATTATTTGCCAGCTTTGTTTTGAAGTCAGCTGGGTGTATCATTTCTCTTCTTCTCAAGGTAGGAGCACTCACCTCGGCAATGTGGCTGATGTCAGTCCCAGTTCTCAGGACACCATGTGGCAGAGCTGATGACAGCAGTGTGACTGACCTGGGGCGCAAATCTCACTTGACTGCTTTTGTTCCACCCATACAGACAAGGAAAGGGAAAAAAGACAAGTAAGTGCAGAGCTACATGAAGAGGTTTAATGTACACAAAAATCTGGTTCTGTGCAGTCTATTGTGAATGACTCAACGTCTTGTGGCATTCTTTCCTGCGGGATAAATGTGTGGTTTTGTTAAATACTCCAGAAAAAAAAAAATGTGTTGAAGTTTATCTCCCTCTTCTGGAAACTAACTCTACAAATCCACAAGGTTTGAAGCATACAGAATCTATCCCTTAAATATATGTTATTTCTATTTTAAATGCTTGAGGACATATAGCATCCTTTATTTTATATTACTTTAATTTCCGGTGTGATGAAAAGTAACGCATAATTTTAAATGAAAGGAAAATTAGATGGTTTACACTAGATTGGCAAGAACTTTCCTCCTGTTATTAGGTTGACAATGTTCAGTCTCACAACACTAGGTTCTTTGATAAAGTCCAAAATCCGCTGCTGTTCAGAAGGATTTTGTGTCCTTACCTTGACTTCTGCTACAATGACATCTGTGATTGATGCCCAGCCGCTGTTTTATCACCGTTTCCCCTCACGTACATCAGGCTCCCGCTGTGGCTTTACGTGGTTTCTTGCCTCCATCGGAACGGAGTTACCGTCTGCCGAGCAAATCCCCGAAGACGTGGAATGGGCTGCCTGGGGCTCCAGGAGAGACGGGAGGGTCCCCGCATCCCTCCCGCCGCCCGGCGCTGAGTGCGGCTGGACCGGGGCTCCAGCACCGCCCATGGAAAGCTCGGCCGGGCCAGCCCGAGGGGGCGGGAGCCCCCGGCCCTGTGCCAATGGCTGCGGGGGGATGGCTCTGCCTGGCCGTCCCGCTCCGTTACAGGATGGAAATTCCCGGCCTCCCCGGGGAGGGAGCTGGGGCTGCGCGCGCTGAAAGGCTCATTTATCCCCGCGCTGCCGCCCAGAGCGGCGGACACGGGGTCCTGCGCCGCAGCCTCCCCCCGGCCCCGCCGCATCCCCGCCTCCCCTCCCGCCCCGCGCCCCCCGCACGATGCCCCGCGCCCCGTTCGCCGCCGCCCCGCTGCTGCTGCTGCTGGCGCTGCTGCTGCTGCTGCTGCTGCTGGCGGCCCCGCCGCCCGCCGGCTCCGACAGCCCCAAGGGGAAGCAGAAGGCGCTTCGCCAGCGGGAGGTGGTGGACGTGGTGAGACGGCGGCGCCGGGGCCAGGAGCAGGTCTGGGAGCAGGGGCCGGGAGCGGGTCTGGGAGCAGGGCCAGGAGCGGGTCTGGGAGCGGGTCTGGGAGCGGGGCCGGGAGCAGGGCCGGGAGCGGGGCCGGGAGCGGGGCCGGGGGTCGGGATCGGGTCCAGGAGCTCGGCTGACCGAGGTGCTGGGGGCGCGGGGCGGGCGGGGGTGGTGGCCGGAGGACTCTCGCGGACACTTTTTTTTGTTGTTGCGAAGATGCGGGAAAAAAAGCGAAAAATGAGTTTCGAAAAACCTCTCCGCCGCTCCGGGCCGGGCAGCGCCGGTCCCGCGCTGCTGGACTTCTCTCTTGGGTTCTGTTAATTACGCCCTGGTTATGCTGAATCTGCAAAATGCCGGGAAGGGGTTTGACGGGCTTTGACAGAAACCGCAGGTTTTCGTCGGCCGGCTGTGTGTGTTGGTGTTTCCCCATCGGGCTGCGGCTGGAGCCGGCGGAGCCCCCGCTCCCCGACGTGCCCAGTGCCAGGGGCATCGCGGCGGGACCCGAGGCAGCGCCGTGGGCTGGACCCTGCCCTCAGCCACTGCAGGGGCAACGTCGAAATCCTACAGCCCTTCCAACAGAAGCAGTAAATGCTGTTTAGTTTCCAAAGGGTTAGTGCATAAATAATAATGAGAGAAGTACAAAACAAGATGAAAAAAAAAAGTCTGCTGTTCAGCAGACACCCTGAAAACTGTATCGGCATGCTTCCTGAACCCATTTTTCCTTGGAGTCACGTGAATGCGTTACTCGTTTTGGCTGTGGAGACTGCGTACCACTGTCTGCAATTCCATTGCAACTAGAAACCTGAATGCCTTGGGACTATCCCATCTCAGGGATAGTTGAGAGGAGGGAGATTTTCCAGTCCTTAGTATGTTGAAAGCAGATGTGAAGGTATTTCTGTGAACTGCTGGATTGCTGTTCACCTCCTATAGAAAATCAGTGGCATGGCCATTTCTTTCATGATCTCCAGAGAGATCCCCTAAAGTGATATGCTGGAAGCACCGCTGATAGCAAAGCTCCTTCCCTTTCACACCACTTCATTGCCTTTTCCCTTTCATTGTGGAAGTAGTCAACTTCCATTGAGAATAGGGAGTCTGTACACATGGAGGAGCTTACATTTTCTGTTGGAGCAGTATTTTAGGGTCTCTTATTTCTCTGGCATTTTGGGTGTGACAGAATGAGTAGCAAAACGCAGGTAAATCAATGGCAGCTGACTCAGGCACAGCCCGATTGTACAGGCTGCTTCAGCTAAAGCCATGCCAGGAGAGAGTGAAGGTATGCCCAAGAGGGGATCCTGCCTTCAGCATTTTAAAATATGTTTTATGCATTTCCAGCTTAAGAAAGCATAAAAAGACTTTATTTGGCAAGACAGATGACTTTAGTTGGAACAGAGCCCAAAGTCCGGGTTCCTGTGCTCACATCAATTTTTTTGGGGTGGGCAATGGCTGAGCTGCTCTCTCTGGAAGGCTGCTGTGCAGCTCTGGGCCACCACGGCAGCAGCCCCTCTGTGAGGGTAGCCCAGCCCCTCGTGGTGTACCTGGGGATGGAAGGGGTAACAGGCCTGAGCCTTGGCCTGCCCCCATCTCTTGCCCATTTCCACATCCAGGATTTCTGTGTTGAGTAACCACATGAAAAAGCCAGAGCCAGTCACTGTTACAAATAGAGTCCAATGGGAAAGCAGCAGCAGCAAAAGCAGATAATCAGTGCTGGGTGAAATAGAAATGTCGTCCATCATTCTAATGGCCCCTGGGTCACTGTGTGCTTTACCAACCAGTCTTCAGCTAACTTTTCTAAAAAGTGGTCTTCTTGATTAAAATATCCCACTATTTCCACTGCTTTGAGCCAGCAGTGTTCTTTGGTGGACATAGTAAGGGAAAGCCAGCAGCCATTAGTTCAGCTCTCGTCTTACTTCTTACTAGACCTCTCCATATAGTCACTGATTTATTTTCGTGGCTCCAGCCAAGCCTACGATGGCTATGCTGGTTTTTGCACCCAGGCCTGTGAAAAGGCATAACCTCAGAATAAAAAAATTCACCAGTATGACAAAGGAGAGGGGGCAGGGGCTGTAGTTTACAGCTCCTGCAATGCAGACAGGGCATGTCTGGCAGGAGGGGGAATAGTTGCAGCAATAGTTTTGAAACGGGTATTAGGTAGTTTAAAGCAGATGAAGATGAACAAGCATGAGAAAACGGAAGAGCAGAATACTGTTATCTGTGAGGATTTGGGATGAAGACTAGAGCAAGCAGTCAGTCACCAGATGGGAAAGAGCATTTGAAGTAAAAGCTACCATCAGACCCTGCAGGTTCCTGCTTGGCATTTCCGTGCCTGCTGACACCAGTGCTCCTCCTGCATCCCAGCACTCACGCTGCTGGGGGAAGGAGCACAAACCTACTTTCTAAGGAGGGCAAACCCATATTTCATAAAGTAGGAAGGCAACATGTATTAATGTGCAGTTTGGGAGAGCAACACTTGACCTTTCCTAATACTGTGATGTTAGGAAGGATGTTAGTGTGCATCCTCCCATGTGTGCCTTCCCACTGTTATGGGAGAATCCTCAGTTCAGGATTATTCTAGGGTGCAGCTTCCTACATCTGCATCACCACTGATGTGTGTGCATTCTGGAGCCTGACTTGGGGGACTTGACTGTCACGACATGATTCTGTCCCAGAGGAGCTGCGACAGAGCAAAGAAAACCAGCATTAACCTCTGATCTCTGTGAAATGAAAAATTTTCTCTACTTTAAAAAAAAAAAAGGAAAAATAATAATGAAAACTTATCAGCAGAGACAGTTATACAAGCAGTCGTGGGTTAGGAGAAAGTAACTGAAGTAACTGTTAACATACGACTTCTTTTTTTTTGTATTGTTTTGACTTCTGATGTATTCCAACAGGTTTTAATTCTTGGACTAGGTAAATTCTTAATTCTAGGATTTATGTATCTTTTCATAACAAAATGGCATCTTAATTTACAGTAAATTCTGCTGGGACTGCTTACTTTTCTATTTTCTTCGTCTATGGACCATTTTCTTGATGATGCAGAAGTAGCCCATTAACTTGTGGCACAGCAGGGGGTTTGTGTTTTGTTGTTCATTTGCGTTTTATTTGGTTTGCCAAGGGAGTCAAGGGATGGAAGCAGCAAGATCTGTTCTGTGTTTCAGTATAATGGCATGTGCTTGCAAGGCCCCATTGGCGTTCCTGGACGGGATGGAAACCCAGGAGCCAATGGGATCCCTGGGACACCTGGAATCCCAGGAAGGGATGGGCTGAAAGGGGAGAAGGGCGAGTGCATGCGTGAGAGCATCGAGGAGTCCTGGACACCCAACTTCAAGCAGTGTTCGTGGAGCGCACTTAACTACGGCATCGACCTTGGGAAGATCGCGGTGAGTTTGCTTTGCCCGGGATGCTGCTCTGCATCAACCACAGCAGCCCCTAGGTCTGCCTCTGTGAGCTGGGCAGCACCAACCATACGGATTCCTGTTGGAACCTTTTCCTGCATGTAAGGGTGAACTTCTCAAAGGTTTAGCTACTTCACCTTCCTCTCAACTGTGTTTCAACTATGTGGTTTATTCATTTCTGCAATAGGATTTCAAAAGAATGATGTGGCTAGTGTAGGAGTACATTTAGAAAACCAGATATTTAAATCTCAGTCTGAAAGTCACACTACCAAAAAAGTACCTCCAGCTTGCCCAAAACAGGGCAAGGTTTTTACTATTTCAATCCTAAGGAAAGATGTACATCTTTAATCTGTTAATTGTACCTGTCTTTTAACTCCTGCTTCAAAAGAGTTGTTCACTGAACTCAGTTACGGGACGCTACTGCAAAGGATCAGCACTGTTCAGGAGAACTGCTAGTGTTACCCAGATCGACTCAAACAGTCTGCCCTTTACTGCAGCTGTAAAACTTTCAAACACAGTGGTTCAAGTCTAGAAAAAATCCCAGCTCAATCCCCGCTATGAAGCAAAGCCCAGAGGGGTTGGAGTAATTTCACTGCTATTGCTGTAGCTCGAGAGAGAACCAACTTTTTTAGCAGACTCTTTTCACTGCCTTGTACTTTCAGAACTGCCCCTAGCTTTTCTTTTTTTTTTTTTCCCCTTCATGATATCCAGCACTTTGAAGACAGGATAATAACCATTTAAAAACCTGAAAATGTTTTTTTTTCAGTTGTGGAGTCCTTATCAGGGTTTAAGCCTCTCAGAAATCTTGTGATAATTGTTAAGTCCAGGATTTCCACTAGCAGAGAGAGAAATTGTACTCTCCTATCATGCAAGGACTTGGAGGCTGCACTAGGTTATCTTCAGAGGTCCCTTCCAATCCTAATGATTCTGTGATCCTGTGACTTGACTGGAGCTTTCAGACAGCTCATAGCATTGACATAAACCCCAGAAGGTAACTAGGCTACCAACTTAACAGCA